CAAACAAAATTGCATTCTAAAATAAACACTCTGGATGTTAGAATAGAATTTCAGAACTCCATTTCTCAATATTACTGGCCATAATTTATATTATTTTAACTAGGAAGAAATTTATTTCAGATATCATAAATACATATTCAGTCAAGCAGATGAATGTGTAAACATTTCTAGGTATATAATGTTTTTTAACTTTCTGTAATGCAGTTTGTTGCTGCAAAAATATAATTTAGGAAATCTGTTATGTCATTCTGACTATGAATGTGATTTTTGACCAGGAAAAATTCTATTTTACTGATCTACAATATGACCAAGAGAGAGGAGAGTGCTTTTAATAAGTGTTAAAGCTGCCTGCTATAGAATTCTTCATATAAACTTATGCTTTAATTCAGCAGCAGTCTTGTTCTACACAATCTTCCTTTCCTTTGCAACTGCAGCGCTGTGGCTGTCTTTTATTTATTTCATTTCTGCATTAAAATCTCTAGTTCTTATTGGGTGAAATAGGCACTACCTGTTGCCTGTTGTCATGGTAATTCATCGAAGTGGGGCTCCGCTGATAAGGGCTTTTCATACTTGTTATGTACGTGCTCAACTCTGAGTGGATCTATACAGAGTTGATTAAACTAACTCACTGCAGCCATTTTGAAACCGAAAAGCCACTGTTTCCAACCTTAGGCTAGATCAGTGGTTCTCAAACTTTTTCTGTCATTCCCCACTTTGGACAAGAGGGAATGTTCAAGCCCCGCCTGTCCCCATTGCCCCAACACAATGCTAATGAAATATGCAACGATCTTAAAATGTTCCAATTTTATTGAAGTAACAAGTAGTATTGTTCCAATTTTATTGAAGTAACAAGTAGTATCTAAATACAAACTATCTACATCAAATAACAGCAAGCTCAAAAATAAAGAAAATAAAAATGCAGCTGTGTCAAAATTTGTATCAAGCTCAAAGATAGAAAAAAAGAAAATTAAGAAAAATTAAAGTGCCACTCTGCAATCTGTTAATAAAAGAAAAGAAGTGAAATCCATCTGGCAAGACAGGTCTACTTCTCCTTGCATTAGTGGC